AGACAGCAAAGCTCTTGCTTTACTTCTACTTGTATTTGCAGAAGAATGTCACAAAAGATACAGTCTATCTGTAGATTGGCCATTTTCCCATCTGTCTTGGTGGAAAAGCTGCTAGAACCTTGCTTCTTTCTCTTGCTGCCTTGCTCCTTCACTCCAAGTTGGATACCAAAAGATTAGGGTGGCTCAGTCCTCCTGGGTTGTATCCCCATGGGAGCAATCATGCTATCAAACATCGGGGCTCATGCAAGAGCTTTGAGAGAAAGGGCAGCAGAAAAGCATCGTAATGAAAACTGGAATATGCTGGTACATAGCCTTTGGTATCACCAACGGTGGAGTATGGAAAAACCAGTGCCTCTAAATCAGAGTTCCTAGATGGCCTTCAAACTCCCCTGTACTGCCAGACCCCACTTGGGTGACTTACAGCCCAGAGACCAGCATGCGCAATCGCATTGCCATGTTCATCACTGCAGAGCAAATTTGGGAACATTCAGTGCTATAAAGCTGGAGAGACAGCAGGAATTTTCAATTACCTTGTAATTTTGTATGTAATTATTTTTTTTTCTAAATTATTACAGTGCAGCACTTGTCTGCTTTTGGCTGCAGACAGTAAAATGTTCACATTCACAGTGGCAAAAGAAAAAAATGATTTCCTGAGGACATTTATTTCCATTATTATTGCTGAGCATTTATTTTGTCAACTTCACATCAGCTGTGTAATCTGACAGCAATCGGTCAAGTTATATTATGTCAAGACTTGTCTGTTTCAAAAGGTTGCAGGCTGATTTCCTGCTGGGCAAACTCCACTGCAACCTTTAGGACGTTGCCAAAAGTAGTTCCTACTCTCCCTACGTTTTTTTAGCTCATTCATTCACCCACATCTCCCTCAGCCTGGTGAGCTGGCAGGGTTTGCTCATGGCAAGCTGGAAGACATGCCTGAATAAGCTAGCAAAAATTCTGGTATAGGGACCAAGAAAAGAACAGGTCCAGCTTTTCCCTAACTGTGTTCTTCCTATCTGTGCATCAGTAGTGGCTTCACTGGCCGTATTTTTTCCTTATCAGTACAAAAATCTGTCACGTGGCAATGTGCATGGCAGGGAAGTCTGCAAAGGAGAGCCCAGCAGGGAGCACGAGGCAGGTCTTGGCTCTGGAGCTGGGCTGAGGTCTGTGTTTGCTCCTTTGGATAGCAATGGAGATGTGAAGTTTCTCCTGGGAACCTCATATTTATGAACAGATAGGGCTCCTCTGCACTCTTCCTGCTGAGAGTAACAAGGGAAAGCAAAGAGCTTTATGTGGGCATGTTCCTTACTTAGTGCTGTGCCTGAGGTATCCTGCCATCTGCCCTGGTGGTGATTCCTGCAGAGATGAATCTTCCTTTCTTTTTCATTCATAGTCTGTCTTGTGGATCGGTTCAAATGCTTTTTGTGCAGGTGCACCTTTATCAGAGCATTCATAGCCAGTCTGTCCCTGCCTGTTATTGAGGGCAAGGAGGGGGTTCTACCTTCTTTTAAGAGCTAGAAAATGGGATCTATATTCAACCTGAGTGCCTTTAAATATTAAGGTTTCTGCCTAACAGAAGGGTTGTAGCTCTCTACATCTCACTGAGAACAGTGCTGATTTCTGCTGTAGAGATGTGAGCAGATGAGGACAATATGTCCAATGTCAGTGAGAGCTTATCTGCAAAGCAGGGAGCTGGGCTGAATTCGGGCCACGTTCATCCGAGTTCTTCTTCTGCTGTCCCATCATTTCTGCAGTAGGAGAGAAACTCAGGAAATACAGACAGTAAAAAAATCTGCTTCACCAAATAGAGACTCTCCTGCAGTCTCAGGTAAAAAAACACCAGCTTGAGAGAAGCTAAAGCACTACATACCACATCTCTGTTCAGTCTCCTAAGAAATGCTGCTGTTGTGCAAGCCTTGTGCCACCTGCTGGTTATCAGCCCCCAGCGCTGGCAGTGAGTGGGAAGGAGCTGAGCAGTGCTCACAGCAAGCTGGAAGAGCTGTCAGCCCAGTATCTCATGTTCTGGCCCCAGAAATTCACCCTCTGTGGCAAATTCTGGGGATTTGGCATAGCCCTGTGTTACAATGGTGTGGCTCTGTGGGGTTGCAGAGGACACCAGAGGGAGGCTCAGCTCGTGAACCAGCTCCTGCTCTGACCCTGCCGAGGGCTCTTAGTCTTCCAGGTTATCTGGTGGGAGCTTTTCCTGCTGGGAGCACCTTGGAATGATTCCGTGCCGTGTCGTATGGAGAGCTCCATTCCTTGCTTTATAGTATTTCCACTTTCCATACTGTCTCTGTGATTGAAAAAGACTGTTTACAAAATATTTTGTATCTTCAGCTGCGCGTACTGTAAAAAGGAAAGGATGGAAACGGATGTTTTTCTACACCTGTCAGCAGTGACTGCATGTCTGTGTCATCATCCAGCAACCGCTGTTCCTCAGGGGTCTCCCCGCCGTTCTGTGATCCTGTCGGAAGCATAGGGAAGCACATGAATCCCTGTACAGTCTTGGGAAGAAGGTTTTGTGCCTTAAGAGTGGGACCTGCTTCCCTCCTATTTATTGTGTTAATTTATACAGTGATTATCACGGAAATGTCTCTTGTATTATTGTTTTGTTGGGTTTTTTTTTTGTACGTAGTTTACTGTTTGTTGTAAATAAGTTTTTTTCTTGTATATAAAGTAAACATGTTTCTGAGCTTCCAGTAAAGATTCTGCTACTGATTTCATTGTGTGAGAAGGCTGTGGTGCCCACCTGGTGGGAGCAGCTAATAAACGTCTGTGCTGTGACAAATGGCTTCATCCTGAATTGCATTGGGAACGCAGAGCTGTTCCCTGGAGAGGGGTGAAATGGTAAACACTGCTCATTGCTGATCACTTTCGTATTGGTTTAATTGCTGCGAGGCAGAAAGCGTCGTGCAGATATTTGTTGTTGGCTTTCTGTGCAGTGAGCAAAAGAAGAGGGGTTTGAATGCTGGTTCTGCTGCTGCTCAGCTGTCTGCAAAACCAAACCAGGAGGGGAAGGCGCCCTGGGACAAAGCCCTGTGTCTGAATGCTGGTTATTCTGTCCCCTTTTGTGCTGTCAGGAGTGAGCAGTGGGGATGCCCACGTGCTGGTAGACATCATCTGTGCAGTGTGACCACACTGCTGTCGTTGTGCAGTAAGAGATGGGCTGATGCTCTGCTCTGCTCACTGTGCTTTCAGTTCATTGCAACACACCCAGTAACAAGTGAGAAAACAATTGCAAAGATCGGGCAGAAATCGATTTCTCATGGAGTACAGAAATGCACTGCCATAAAATGATGCCTGTAGGCTTGAAACTAAAGGATTTGGGGGTGTTTGGGTGGGCAGTCCGTGTATCACACTGCGGTGAGCATTGCCTTCAATCTGTATGGATTGGTGTGTTTGTAAGGTGCTGCCAACAAAGTGTCAGCAGATTGCTTTTAATCTGAGAGGGTGGTCGCAGTTCCACGATAGTTTTGAAGGCAGATGGAAAGTAGTTTATGATTGCATTTCCTCTGTGGAAATAAAAGGCCTCTGTGCTTGCTAGTTAAAGGGAAGGATTTATTTTGTTTGAAAAGAATCTTGTTTGAAGGTGGGAGGAGCATTACAAGAAAGGTCATAGTGATGTTATATACTGTTCTAATATGAAAATGGTAAAATTCATCTTTAAAATGCCAGCTATCTCAGGAATAGAGAGAAATAAAATGACTGTCTTTGCTCACACGTGCACAGTGGACTGGAGTGTGCAGCTCTGCACTGAGCATCACAGAAACATGTAAAGAAAGGGCAGAGAGACAGAAGGGGTGGTCGCTCCTCTGATGCAAGTTGTTCATTCTGGTCCTTTTGGTCTCTCCAAAGAGGAGGAAGCTCTTGGCCCCGCTCAGGTGTCATTGCTGTGCTGTCAGGCCTGCTGCTCAGTGCTGCTGGCCCTTGGTTTAATTACAGCCATCAGACAGAGCTTGGGAAGGTTGGCAGCGGGTTGTGTGCTCTAAAAGTGCCAATAAGATTTCTATTTTAAAATATCTTCTGCTTTTTTCTCTTCTTGCTCTACGTGTTTTGGGTTGGGATTGCTGACATTTGTTCTTCTTCTGCTCCCCCTGACTGGGCAGCATGGAAGCAAGCAGGTTCCAAAGCAGCCCTGTCCTTCCTTACCTGTAGAGCACCTTCAGGGCTATCAGGAACATTCCTCATTTGTCTCTTGTGTGTGAGTGTTGGGGATGAACAGCTGTGCCCCACTACTGGGCTGTGGGCAAGCTGTGGTGTTTCTGATATGCACAGAGTGAGGAGGTAATGGAAATTAGGGTTTAAAATACCCCATAATTGTCTGGAACTTCTCTCCGGAGAGCTGCAGCAGGAGCTGGCTTACCAGTGACCCTTCAGGCACTGAGTCGTAGTGTCTGCACAGGAGAGGAGCAGATGGGAGGCATTCAGCCTCTTGTCCTGTGTGAGCAGGCTGCCAGAGCTGCTCAGGAGTTACATCCTTTCTGAATACCGGTGTCAGGTAAAAATAAAACAACAAAAAGGTTCTTAGCATCTGACACATCACTTCTCAATGTTTAATGTGGACAGTTGGTGTCCTGAGTTCCAAACAGTCACAAATCTTGCAAACAGAAATGTGTTCAAAACATGCAAGTTATGCATGTAAAGCACTATTTCTGTGTAGTTACCTCAGGTGCAAATATTATTTGTGTGGTAGGTAGAACTGACATTAATCCATTTGTTTCTTCTTGAGTTTCCTGTTACGTTTCCTGTCTTAAGGTGTGTTTTATAAAATGTATTTTCAGCACACATCTGTTGTCATTAATTGCAGCTGAGTCGAGGATGAAGAACATATCAGCAGAGCTTCAGAGCACACACACCTTCCCCAGCTGCAGTTTGGATGCCATGAGTTCCAAAACTGATGAAATTGATGGGGAAAAATAGCACAGAATGGATTTGAAAAGGCAGAGGACAACTGTTTCACTTTTCCATGCAGGTAAACTGTCGAGCTCCCCCTGAGCACTGTTTGCTTAATGACTAAAGGGAAAGCACTTCATGTCACTCTAAAAAGTAAATAGCTGAAGTTATGGATTAACCCAAGTTCCAGCAGAGCTCATGGCGGAAGAATAAATCACGCTGATTCACACTGAATAAAGCAGTAAGTGCCTCAAAGATATGGTATCACTCAGGGTTTCAAAGAACAGCTTAATTTAATTAAGCATAAAGTTTGTCAGAAGTGTCTGATGGCAAGGGGAGGTGCTGGGGCCGATAGGGAATGCTCTGGGAGAGCTGCTGGTGGGTTGGAGGGATCTGGAAGCAGGCTGGGGGGCTCTGACAAACCACCTTGGAGCTGACATCAGAGAGAAACAGCATTCTGTGAGGGAGCTGCTGTGTGATAAAGAAGTGAGGAAGACCTGAGCTGTCTGAGCAGATCCAGCCTCCAGCGTGGGGCCGTGCTGCAGCTCACTGCACGCTCCCCTTCACACCTGGCTGTTCTTCCAAGGGGACTTCTGCTGCAGCATGTGGAAGCTCATCACTATAGGGGTGCTGCTGGCTGCCTGCTCCTCACCAGTGTGCCATACCTCAAGTAAGTGTGCCTTCACCCCATTCCAGTCACTGTGAGCATGATTTCTGCTCCCTGCCAGCTGCTGATTTTCTCTCTTCCCTGCTTCCCCACGCTCACGTTTTTGCTTCTAGTATTTTACAGCTACAAGGATGCAAACCAAGTCCTGAAAATCCAGAAGCGGGCCAACTCCTTCCTGGAGGAGGTGAAACCAGGTTCTCTGGAACGTGAGTGCAACGAGGAGACGTGCGACTTTGAGGAGGCCAGTGAGATATTTGAAACCAAGGAAGCCACAGTAAGTTGGAGGAACATAAGACTGAACCAATAGATTGTTTGTCAAAGTATTGTAGTCTGGGGCATAGGAGGTGTTGCTGTCAGCACTTCTGACTCTGAAGGTAGGGCATTCAGTGTGTTGTGATTGTCAAGTTATCACTGCTTGTTTGGGCTGTGGCACTTGGCTGTTCACACATGTCCCACCAGACCCAATTTTGTGCTTTACATCCCAGGCAGGTAATTCCAATCCCTGCTTGACCCCACTGACTATTCTTGCTGCCACTGTGTTTTTGTTAGTCTGTATGTCCCCAGACTGCCATCTGTGCCAGGCAAACATTTGTCATATCATTAGCTCCTCCCCACATCCTCCAGCCTCGTGAGGGATGGACGTAACTGTAAACATCACTGGTTGCTGCCCTTTCCACACCTTGTCAATGAGTATGAGCTTGTTTTTTTGTCTTTTTTTTCATAGAGACTTACTGTTGCATCAGATGCAGTGAGCTTGCTATTTAGGATGATCCAGTCCTTGCCATCCCTCAGGCCCCAGAGTCTTCTTACAGCCTTCCCCAGTTTTGCCTCCCGACTGGGCACAAATGTAGTTTTGCACTGAGAACATGAGTGACTTGCCTGGCAGTGAGCAACTGGGAAAGAGAATCTGGGGGGGCACTGAGGGGTCGTGGTGGTGGGGGGGCTGCAAGCAGGGCAGGGGAGATCTGTGCTGAGTAGGTTCATGGCTGCAATATATGAACGTTGGGGGTTGGCCACTTCTGTTAACCATGCATGTCACTGTGCTGCCAAGAAGGAAGAGACCTAGCTGACTAGAGTGCTGTGCTGTGTTGAGCAAGACTGTGGTACATTTCAAATCCCTTGCTTGTGAAAAATCTGCCTCTGGCCTTAATGTAAATGTTGTTTCTCTACAGCTAGAGTTTTGGAACAAGTATGTAGGTAAGTAAATTACTTTCTCAATCATCTGTCTGTGTTTCTTCAAGGTTTGCTGGTGCTCTGCATTCTGCTGCCATGTGTTACTCACTAGTTTGTATTTTCATTCTCTGTTAAATGGGGCATGTAAAGTACGTTTTCCAGTCCTATTATATAACCAGCCTCTTAAAATATCTCACGTGCATCTGTGCCCATTATCAGTCACCTCCCCACAGCTGAGGCACTGGGCAAGAGTGATCTCTGCTGCTCTGTCCCTGCCTGGCATGGCCCAAAGAGAAGCCCCAGTTATTGCTCTCTGCTCCTGCAGTAACTTGCCTCTGCCCTGGCTGCCTCAGGTTTTACTTTCTTTCCTTTCTGCCCACTCCACTCCTTCTGCAGTTGTAATTCAAAGCATAAACAAACGCCTTTATCTGGGGCAGCCCCACAGTTCTCACCGTGTGGAGGCAGAAGCTGTGCATGGTGCCTGGGGATCAGGGATCTGCTTGTTTTTGTGTTTGCTCTGAGCCAGAGCTCAGGCTCTTAACTGCGTGTTCCAGATGGAGATCAGTGTGCACAGAAGCCTTGTTCCAATGGAGCCTGCAAGGACAATATTGGATCGTATTCCTGCATCTGTGACAAAGGCTGGGAGGGAGCTCAGTGCAATTATGGTAATGCTGCCTTTAATCCATGATATGTATAACAAAACATTCTTTGTGATGGGGATCTCTGCGTATAGGGACCAACAATTCTGCCATTGCAAGGTATGCTCGCTTTCACTACTGGTGTGATTTCTCTGTTGCTTCATAATGCAGTAGAAGGATCATCAGTTCTTACTGAAGTTTGTGTTTCCATGTGAGAGGTTTGGAAATCTGAAAAATCTGTGTTTTACAAAAGCACTGGAAATGGTTCTGTAAAGGATCAGTGACTTTAAAACAGTCAGTACAGGTGAGTTTGGTTGGTTGGTTGGTTGGTTGTTGGTTTTTCAATAGAGAGGGAAAAACAATGCACTGAAAATGTCATTACTGGAACAATGTCTTCCCTGGAGAAAAGCTGAGTAGTGTATTTAATTACGAGCATCTGCATCTTGTATCATCACCACCTTCCACCACTGGTCAGTGATAGAGAATTTTCTGTTCTCCAGCCTGCCTGCCCTGGCAGTAATCTCTGGGTTCTTCATCTCCCCACTGCCTTGTTCGAGGTCTGTTTGCTGTCTGAAGGGCCCTACTTGCCACAAGAGCCCGCAGCTCTCACCCCAGATGTGCTGTCAGCTGTTTGTCACTTGAATCAGGATGCCATTTTGCCACCTCCTGTGACTCTTTGGCTCTCCAGCTTCTCCTGTCTTGCTGCTTTTTTTTTTCCCAGAGGTGAAATACAACAACTGTTCCGTGGACAATGGAGGATGTCAGCATTTCTGCAAGGAGGACCCTGCCAAGCAGTGCCGCTACTGCAGCTGTGCGTCTGGCTACCAGCTGATGAACGACCATAACATGTGCACACCTGTAGGTAAGAGGAGGATGTCCATGGGAGTTGTCACAGAGAATTATTTGGACATGAAAGAAGAGCATTTTAAGGGAAATATGCTTGCAGTTTGCACTTCGTACTAATTTTCAGAGCTTCCATTTCGCGCAGAGGAATTCCGTGCCTGTATTTCCCAAACCCAGGCCCACTTTATGGCCACTAAGAGCCTAAATTGTGCCTCTGTTTGCCTCATGGAGGTTCACAGGCGAAACAGGAAACTACCTGCTCTGCAATCATTGAGGAGTTCCTAAAGATGATGTGTAGCACTGCCTGGATTAGAGACAGAGGGGTTGCTCTGAGAGATGTTCTGTTGGGTGAGCTGCTCTGTGCCAGTTAATTTCTCTGTGTTTTCTCTAGTGGAGTTCCCCTGTGGACGAGTGAAAATGGACTACATTGAAGGCAAAGCAGAATTCAATATTCGGCTTATTGGGGGAAATTCAGGAGGAAGGGGTTTTAGCCCTTGGCAGGTAAGGAGTAAAGAGTCTTTCTCTGCCTGCCCCAGCAAGACTCCTCTGTTAATAATTCTGGCATCACAACCAGCTGAGATTCGCTCAGCTCCTTCAAAAGCAGCCCAAAATTTGGAGTAACGGGGAGAAATATCTGTTAGCACTCTTGGCCTTGTCATTGTTTACAAGATTTTTTTACTTTGCCAGCAGTGTTGAGAGGAGGGTAGTGGCATTTACTGCTCTGTTGCTCCCTGCTAGGGAATGCCATTCATCATCTCATGGTGCCTGGTGCTCTCTCCAGCTATTGTAACTGCATTACTGTGGGAGCTGGAGGTAATTTTCTCCCCTTTTTCTGCAGAAATCTTTTCCTGTAAGCCTTGTCTGTCATAAATTCAAGTGATCAGGTTTAATCAGCCAAATGTGTGACAGCTTTACAGAGCAGGCTGAGATGCCACAGAGAAAGAGGAGACCTCACAGAGCGTGTCATGGAAGCAGTGAATGTTTATCATCAGGGCCTGCCTGTCTCTGATACTGAAGGCCCTTTTATGCCATCGTAGGAGAGTTGGAGTCTGAGCTGAAACTGTTGTCATGTGCCCTTTTGAAGTAGCACAGCCTGTTCTTGCAGTGACCAGCATTGTCCCTTGCTGGTTTGGGTGAAGCCAGCCCTTATTTGGGAAGAATATTCAATTGTTTTTGTTGATGTTCTACAGAAACCTTGATACTTTTGTAGAGTATGGGCTTCAGTGAGCATGATATGCTTTGGTGTCTGATCCGTGTGTGCATATTTCAACCACAAAGGAAAATGCATACTGTATCTTGTGAGCTGTGCTTCCTGCAGTGTCACACCTCAATGTTTCTTTGTTTCAGGTTATGCTGCAAAATCTGAAGGGGAAATTCCTGTGTGGAGGTGTTCTCATCCATCCCTCCTGGGTCCTAACAGCTGCACACTGCGTTGAGGCGGGAGAGACTCTCAAAGTAAGACTTGGTATGGAAAAAATCCAGCCCTTTCTTTTTAAGCACTTCTTTGAAAATTCCCAGCTTACGTCACCTCAGGAGAAAGACCAGTGGGTTATAAAGGCAGAAATCCCCCTGGATGGAGAAGCGGGTTGTCTAGGAAGTGCTTACCTCGCACCATAGCACAGATCAAAAAGGATCAGTAAAACTGATTTCATTTGAGCCACTGTCAACCTTAGCATGGCAATGAGCTGATTCAGAACACTGCTGATTGTCTGTATAGTAGAAAGACATAGAAGTCACTTTTGAGAAATCTCTTCTGCTTGTGCTTTTCTGTCCATTAAAATATTCAAGATCCTCCTAAGACTGGCAAGGAAGAAACTTACAAAATGTAAAGCCTTGAGCTCGGGAGGAGAATGTCACAGTGCCTCTTCCTACCTTTTGATGCATTTAAGCAGCATTACTTGAGAGAGTTACAGTAAAAAAGGAGGAAAGTGTTGCAGAACTACATCACTGCGTTACTGGCACTGCTACTCTTAAGCATGAAAAAACGTGTGCTGAATGCAGCACTGCTTCTCAATTAATGGACAAAAATGATCCGAGTTCCAGTCACATTGAAGTAGACTTTTTTTCTTACTGTTTTCTATGTACCACTGTTGAAGACACGGCAGGTTTACTGCTTCCTTTCTCCTTTGGTGAAGGGCTGGGTTGTTCCCAGTAATTGTGGAAAACCTTGGAAATGTACTGTCTGTATGCAGGGAAGTGCACACATTTGAGACCTCAGACCCTAGGGCACACAGGGATGGGTGTGTTTACGTCAGTCATTCCTTGTTCAACATACAGGATGAATGGAGAAACGTGTTATATCCTTGGGTCCTTTTAGTGCTAGAATATCCCCCTCTTCCACAGAGAGACATCAAAATAGAAGTGAATGTCTAGCTTTGAAATCGCATACAGACTACATACCTCCAAGCACTTCCAGTTTCTAAGCTATTGTCTTTCCTGTTAAGTGATTGCTTAGCATACATTTATTCAGTTATAGTGAGTCCCAAGAAGCAAAAGCCTGTAACTTGGTGAAGAGCCTTGGAATGCTTTAGGGAAAAGCAGTCATCAGAAGTGGTGTTTGAAGGGACCTTCGAGCTCATCTGGTTCCAACTAGAATGCTTGGGAGTGCTAGATGCAGCTTTGAAGTTACTTGAAGGGGATTAATTAGTGGGAAAATCAGGACAATTAAGGTTGTAAAAGACCTCCAAGGTCATTTAGTCAAACTGCCAACCCATCACCACCACAGGCACTGCACTGTGTCCCCAAGTGCCACATCTACCCTTTTCTTTAGCTAGGGAAAGGCTGCAAGGAAATCACTGCAACCTGGTCTTGTACTGCAGGTCCTGGTGGGCATCTGTGCAGTGTGATCAGCTTTCAGCTGGGATAGCAAAGAAACTCTGTCCAGAAAGTCACATGCTAATCAGATACAAAGGTGGAGCATAAGTGATTTTCCATGGAAGTGCCAGTGCTTGAAAGCCATGGTTTGAGAGATTGATTTGTTTGGCTTAAATGAAACTCAAGAAACATCTCACACATAAATTCAGGGCGAGTAAGCAGAGTAATTTATGGTGCAAGGATAACCAGCAATAAGGGCTCGGATTTATCCCACTCTCCCAGCTGCCTTGAAAGACCTTCTTCATTAACAGAAGAAAAAACAAGTGTGTGGCTGCGGACTGAGTCGTGGCATATGTGAGAGGACTCCTTCCATTAAACCTGGAGGAACCTTACTGTGGTGAGATGATAGAAACCACATAAGTGTGGTTTACTGTGGTGTAGGAGGCGGTGGAGAGAGGGTGGATGTACAGAACATCTTGAGTCTTCACCAATAGAGAAGAAAGAATGAAGTTATGCTCCTGGTTGAGCAGAAAGGAGCTTAAAGACAACCTTGAGATACACAGAACAGTTTGAGTGGAGACATTGCCACGTCTGCACGTGCAGAGATGAGCTGTGGGGCAGGAATGAAGGTGTCTGTATTGACTGCAGGGGTGATAGCTGACCTGCCTCCAGCCCATCAGTCTTCTGGCCTTCTCCTATTTCACCTTCTGTTCACCAACTGTAAGAACAAAACTGGAGGGAAGGCTCACATCTGGGTTTGCACTCATGATCTTGGAGAGTGCTCAGGTAGCTGGATTTGTTCATGTCTGAAGTGGAAAGTTAGATCTCAGAGTAGATATTTGGAAGATGGATCTGAGAACATCCCAAACCTCCTTCCTGTGGCACTTGCTCCTGCATGTGAAGCAGAGTTGTATGTGTGAAGATCAGAGTAGAACCCTGCCCCTTACCCTTGGGTGTCTGCCAGTCAGCCCTTTGTCACAGCAGCTGCAGAGTGGGAGAACAGAGCGAGGGGATGTGCTCCCAGCGTGCTGCTGCCAGAAAGAGGAGTCAAGATGGAAGAAAAACACTTGTTTTGTGAGTGATGGCTTGGTGATAGGAAGTCCTCTGGGTGATGTCTAGAGGGGTTTGAGCAGTCTGAACTGCCTACTGTGGCCACATATTAAATGGCCACTGGCTGTCTGCAAAGGAACAAGAGGAGAGGATCAGAAATAAGGGGTCTAGAAGTCCAAGGTTCAAAGCTGGACTTCGTGGAGTCTTTTGAGAATCTGTTTCTGGAGCTGCTCTGAATTATAAAGTCCCCATTCTTGGAAACACACTTACAGGAAAAGGAAAGAAAAATTGACAGACTGAAGCATGGCAAGTGACCTTGGTAGTGCAAAGTCAGAGGAACTTTAAGGATTTGTTTGGAAGGATCCAAGTAAGACTGAGGGAACTGAAAAGTTAATTGGAACGGGGCAAACTGGAAGGACGATGTGGTGTAGCCTGCATTTGGAAAGGTGATCATAAAGAGAAACTTGCAGCTCACCCACAGAGGGACTGAGATGGAAAGCACCCTTGGGTTTGCAGAATGAATGGATTCCCAAGGGAGAAGTGTTTTTATCGAGTAGGTACTGAAACAGACATTGAAATTAAGCTTAAATAGCACAGAAATGTGACGTTTTGGTGGCTACTTCCTCACATCCTATCAGATACCTTTCTTCTCCATTGTATCACACATAAATGAATTGTTCTTCCCTTTCTGGCCTCTTTCAGCGTAGCTTCCAGCTTATTTTTGCATAACTGCTCTGCCCATGAAGTGGCCGATCACGCAGCACAAACAGAAATAGAGGAGTCTTAAGTGGTCGAAGAATCCTTAAGATACAGGTGCACAATTTTAGGGTGGGATGGCGTTATCAGTCACATTTATCCATTAAAACCTGAGATGCAGACATTCAGATGCTGGTTATACAGCACATGCATAATGTAAATGTCTTCCTTTGCTGTGCGCTGGCTGTGCTGGCTCCAGGACAGCTGGGTTCCTTCCCATGAACATCTCTCGAGTTACACAGGTGTGCTGTAATACGAACTCAGCAGGGGGATATTGAGCAGTTTCAGCTTCTCAGCTGATCACAGCTGTAGGGCATTAAATCAGTACAGCACGCACTCACTGGGCAGATCTGGAAAGTTCACACTCTGTCTCTCGAGTAGAGCGCTGTTAACCTTCGATATAATCCAGTTGCTTTGGTGACGGAAGCCAGGAAGGCTCCCTTTGTTCTGAGGAGTCAGAAGCCCAGGAGCAGCTCTCATCTCCCTCTTTGCCCCTGCAGGTAAATACCACCGTCTCCGTACGGAGCCCAGCGAGCAAACCATTCGTGTTGACAGATACGTGCGCCATGAGAATTACAGCAAGCTGACCTCAGACAACGACATCGCCATGCTGCACTTGGCAGAGCCCGCCATGTATGACAAGTACGCCCTGCCCATCTGCCTTCCCACGCGGGACCTGGCAGAGCACGAGCTGACGACCAAGGGCAGGCAGATGCTGGTGACCGGCTGGGGCAGCACAAGCGATGAGACGAGGAATTACTCTGCTCTCCTCAGCTACATCGAAATCCCCATCGTTCCCAAGAATGAGTGCGCCCAAGTGATGACAAACGCCATCTCTGACAACATGCTGTGTGCGGGGAGTTTGGGAGACAGGAAGGATTCCTGCAGCGGGGACAGCGGAGGACCGATGGTCACTAAATATCAGGATACTTGGTTTTTGGTGGGACTGGTGAGCTGGGGAGAAGGCTGTGGAAAAAAGGAGAAGTTTGGAGTGTACACCAAAGTCAGTCAGTACCTGGAATGGATCCAGCACCACATAAATAAGATGTCAGGTTCCTGGAGGGGTTGATTCTGATGCTTTGAGCCTGGAATACTGTGGCTGTGTGCTGTGCTAGTGATGGTATGAGGTGTAATGTGCTGTCGCATCTACAATATTAAATGCTGAGTATCTGTTAACCTCACGTGCTACTTTCTCCAAGTTCTGTTGTTTATATGTAGCGTGGTCCTGCTTAGGCCTTACAGGCAAGAGGTGTACTGCACCCCGTTGTGCTGAGAGCCTGCACAGAGTTGTAACAAGAATGGCCTGTTGTCCAACAGACCTGCCTGCTAGGTGTGAAATGACTGAACCCAGTGGGCGCTGGGGAGAATGCCAGAGAGGTCTGTTGAGAAGATGTTCAAAGTTGAATACTTCTTCATCCAGTTCTGTCATTTCAGCTCTAACACAGCAGCTGCAGTAACTGTGCTGGTTTGCTTTGTGTTTGTGTGATTTGTCTTTCAACAAAATGCAGTTTTCGTAACTTCATCACTGCCTCCAATCATTCACATTTGAATCCAGTGCTTGCAGGTCCAGCTGATGTAGCAGCTCAGTAGATCTCCTCTGTGTTTTCTGTTCCTTGCAAACACAGTGACTGATTGTAGCCACTCAGAGTTCCTTGAAAGTCAGTGGGAACTCTGCTGTGACTTAAGAAAAGAGGCTTAATTGCAAACTCTTGCATGCTCTGTTTATTGCCATGTCTGTAGATCTGGTTTAATTAGCAAACTAAGCAAACTGTTTTGTTCATTTCTATTCAGCTGCAGGCTGCATTAGTGTTCCTTTTACTTACTGATAGTTTTATGTGTGTTTGCATCCCTATCAATACTTCTGTTGGTATGCCAGTAAGCAAAATAGGGAAGTTGGATTAGTCTAAATGAAATTGAATACAATCACAGTTCCTGCTTGTGTTTAATCTTGATACACGAGCCTGCTCAATGTAATTGGTCCTACAGAGAAAAGGGGAAACCAGCCGTGCTGTAGTGGGTGCAGGCTTCCAGTATCTCCTTTGGGATTTGGAGCCCTGTTTGGATCAGTGATCAGTTTGCTCTCGTGATGAGATTCTGAAATGAAAGGACAACCCAGTTGTATTAGAATTTGTAGGAAAAATAATATAGTAATACCTCTTAGGCCTGTAGACTTGTCGTGTTGACTTATGAGCTGCTCACATTTACAAAGCGAGAGGAGAAGTTGATTCATGCATACAAGAAACAACAAGCAGGCCAACAACAAACGAGTTGGAGGTAAGCTGAAACCAGAGTACCTCAGCCACCAGTCTCTGTCTCACTCCTTTTTCTTTGTTTCCCCCTCCCCTTTATAATTTGGAATGAATTTGGGGACTGAGAGATGTTAAAGAATTGCACTTCTTTGAGCAGCAACCTTCCACACAAGACCTGAACCATGAAAACGTGCCTCTGAGAAGCCTTGCTACACATTGAACTACAAGAACAAAATGGTGCTGTGTTCAAAGCCAGTAAAGCTGGGCTCTGACCAAGGGCAGAACTCCTGATGTCAGTGAACAGCTTTGGTTGTTAGCAGGCAGTGTTTGCCTGCCTGCAGGAGGCTGCAGCGCGTCCACCTGCACAGCTTGCATGTTTCAAAAGATGTTTGCAGAGCAGCTTTGTGTATTTTCAGGGTCACTTATCTCACCAACTGAAAGAAAACGGGGGCTCCAGGAATCTGCTCTCAACAGTACCAAACTCCTGAGGAGGTTGCTACAAAGAGGCGCCTCTTATCATTGGGGGATGCTTTTAATGATCTTTTGTTTCTATTCACACGATGTGTGTGTGCAGAAACGTGGAATTGTCTTTGGATTTTGGATTGCGGGTGGGTTTCAGGGAATCCAGAAGGTTGTCTCTCCTCTGTCAATATTTGTGCCTGGTTAATGATCAACCTCATGACCTCACGGCGCTTCCTGGTGCGCATCCAAATCTCTTTCCTGTCGCCCCTAAAAAATAAAAAAAAGTGAGTATAAATGCACGTTTCTGTGTCAAAGCGAATGCATTCTGGATCCTGTTTTTTGGCAGATGACACAGACAGCAAAGAGGTACGTGCTGTCAGACCCCTGTGAAGGTAGCAGGGAGACATTTTTGGAGCCAGGCATGTGGTGCATGGTTTCCTAATCGGAGCTTGCAAATGCAGGCTTAGTTGACAGAACGCTCCGTAGCCACTGTCATTGGAGACCACGGACTGCTGTGGAGCTCAGGCCTCACCACAGCCCTTGGCAATGCAGGCAGGGCTGTGGCTGGGAGTGCTGCTCTGGCTGGGCCTGACTCGTGCCTGCTGCCTCATCTCAGCTCCTCTGTCACTTCTGAGAGCTTTGGATCAGACCCTGTGCTGCTTTCTGGGCTAGGTCCATCTGTGCACATCACCCTGCAAACTGTTGGCATTCCTACAGCATTGGCATTACTAAGGAAAACAATGGAAATCACATCCAAACGAACTCAGTAGAACTTGCTCTCTTTCTCCCTTCTCTTGCTCCTACTCCCTTTTGCCGTTGTCTTGTTTGCAGGCTGGCTGCCCGTTGCTGGCACTGTGGCAGCTCACCCATCTCATCTCATTCACCTTTTCCCTCTGAAGGAAAGTCGGAGTTTTCCAAACGCCCACTGAGATGGAGAGCAGCTCCTCGCTGGCGATGTTCATCCTGCTGATGTGCTCCATCAACAGCAGCTGTCCATACTCATATTCAGGTGGGTACTTCTAATGATGTTTTTAACCTAACTGACTTGGGAGAATCTCAGCACACTGTCCTGCAGGTTCGAGAAGGACTTCCTGAAATGCACAGGAGGAAAATGAGTACTTGGTTGTGTTTCCATGAGACATCAGCCATTTGTAACTTCCTTCTTAGGCCCATGTTCTGTTTTTCCTGTACTGTCTTGTGACATTAAAGCCCAAATTTGAATTACGATTTGCAATTACAGCAATGTTCTTAGGCCTTCAGAAATTCCCTCAGCTTCAATACAAAAACAGCACTTGTAAAGGTGATCGAATCTTTAATACAGCAAGAGATTTAAGGGATGAAATCAATGGTTCAATTTTGTTTTTCTAGTGTTCATGAGGAAAGATGCAGCGCATGAGGTGCTGAGGGTCCACAAACGTGCCAACTATTTTCTAGAAGAGATCCGCCCAGGGAACTTGGAGAGAGAATGCAATGAGGAGAAGTGCTCATTTGAGGAGGCAAAGGAGATCTTCCATTCGCAGGAGAAAACGGTGAAAAAGTGAACAGTGAGCTGGAAGGACTTTTGTCCTGGAAGGGATTCCACCAACAGATCAACCCAACACTACCAATAGCAAATAATGTTCTGTCCTTTTAATTCCAGATCCCAACTCTTCAGATAGCTATAAAGGCACAAAGCAGGGAAACGTGCAGGGGGAAGCTTGGTTTGGGTGGCAGGGGAACAGGAGGAGGAGCAGATGCTCCTCCTTGCTGCATGGATGCTCTCATTCCATAGTGCCCTGTTCTGGGGCTACGTAATCCACTTGCCTTAACCTGGTTCAGAGCAAAGAGCTGTAGTGTTCAGCACAAGTTAGAATGGCACGAATTGCTGCACTCTCCCCATTCTCAGGTGAGCAGTGCGTTTGTGTCTGTGCTGCTGGGCATTGCCAGCAGCTGGGAGTTGGCAGAAAGGATTTCACACATTGCAGCTCTTGGCTTTAGGCATCAAATCTGCAGGAATATCCAGAATGCTGCAAGGGGCCTGGGCTGCTTTCTAGCCTTAGGTGCCTTAGGTGCAGGGTCTTCAAAGAGCTGCGTGCTGGAAAAGCAGCTGTACAGCAGCTGCTGTACCTAGAACCTCTTTTTGTGAGCACTTCAGCACAGCAGCACGATTCTGGCCTTTTCAGGGGGCTCAGCCTTGCTCAGATCAATACAAGGTGAGGGAGGACCTTGTCCCCGTAGCACCCAGCTGGGTTACAAGGCTGCAGGCATTCTGCTGGGGACCTTGCAAAGCAGGAGTTTGCACTTTGAGTTTTATCCCAGTACAATCTAATTGCTGCTGTCTGCTCCGGGTAATGAAGAGGATTTTATGGTCCTAATCAAACTCTTGCTTTACATGGAAACAAAAATTTGTTTTCTAAATGACTAATAACCAGTATGGCCACTTAGTGACTGTTTTCTTTCATGATTTCTTCTTGCAGATGGAGTTTTGGTTCAACTACAAAGGTGGGTAGAACAAAAATTACAAATAATTATTTCTTGTGTTCCTTCTGGGTACAAAGAATTCTGTGGAAATTTAAAACCAAGCGTCTCTCAATCCCTGAATTACATTGTGCTGTGTTTTTTCTCAGGTTTAAATCCATGCATTACAAATCCTTGTAAGAATGGTGGAGTTTGCAAAATAAGACGCTACAGTTACTTTTGCATCTGCCCCCCGAAATTTGGAGGAGACAACTGTGAAAAAGGTGAGTAGAGGAACACGCAGGTGGACATTCAGTGAAGGAAGAATTCAGGCTGGAATTTGTTACCTGGACACTTTTCATTGGGGTTCTCGATGCTGACTTCATGTGTGCAATGCATACCTGGTTGGTTGGTTAAGGTTGACCCATTGGAATGGGTTGTGCACAGGAGGGCAGCACTGTCTGTGTCATTCTGGCCTCTTGCACTGATCTTTGCAAGCCCAGTGGAAAGCATGAGCTCATCTCCCACTTCCTCTCTTGCTGCCTTGCTTCCTTCCCTTCTTTCTTCCCTCTCTCTCTTCCTTCCTCCTTCACTCTCTCCCATCTTCCCTTCCTCTTTCTATCCTGCCCTTCAATCTCTCTATCTCCTCCCACCTCAGTTATTCCATCCCTCCCTTTCCTTTCCACATCTCAATTCCTTCATTCCCCCCTGCCTTCCCGTCCTCCATTCTTTGCTCTCTCCTTAACTCCTTTCCTTCCTTTCCTCTCCCTCCATTCTTCCCCCTTCCCCTCATCGATTCCTCCCCTGTTCTCCTATCCTCCTTTTCTCTGTCCCATCCTTCCATTTCCCTTCCTTCCTTCTTCCCACCCTCCCTCTGGTTTCCTGCCTCTTTTCCTGCCCTACTTTACCCAACCACCACACACTCCTCTCTCAAACCTCTCTTCCCTCCTTCCCACCCTACCTCCCTATATGATTTCCTCCACCCTCCCTTTACCCTTCTCTCCCTGCCTCCCTTCCTTCATCCCACCCTTCCCTTCAGCCTTCCTACCTTCATCTGTTCTTCTCTGCCTTCCCTGTGTCTTTTTCCATTTTCTCCCTCACACTTCCATCACTCTTCATCTCTCCCTCCTCCCTTCATCCTCTTCTTCCTCCCTCCCTCCCTCCTTTCATCACTTTTCTGCCTGCCTCTCCTTCAGTCCCTAATTCCTTCCCTTTCCCCCCCTCACTAACTGCTCTGCAATACCTCTCTCTCAGGGCCCTGTTTGCAGCACTAACCTCGCACTGTGCTTCCACTGCAGAGAAATTGGAGTGCTGGTACAAGAACGGTGGCTGCTGGCAGTACTGCTGGGACAGCAGCTCCTTCCAGGTGCAGTGCTCCTGTGCCAAGGGCTACACCCTGCACGAGGACGGGAAGAAGTGCGTGCAAACAGGTACTGTGCACCCAGCTACTGGAGCTTGTGTTTGGTGTGTGGAAAATGAAATGTTTGGATGCCTCTTGGTTAGCCTTCCTGCAACCCTGTGCCCCTGTAAGCACAAATGGGGAGCAGGACAGCAGCAGGGGCAGGAATGAGTCCGTTCCTCCCACCAGCATCTCCTGACATTGCATCAAGCACTCATTGCTCACAGCCTTTCTCTTTTTCCCCCAGCCCCGTTTCCATGTGGCCTGATCAGAGCCCAGCGTGCCTTGGAGGAAGCGCGGCACGAGGCGGCCACGTGGAACAGCAGCACAACTCCTGCAGTTAAACAGGCCAAGGGGAAGCAAAGTGCTGCCGGGGAAAAGGAAGCTCTAAAGGATGCATCTGGGCAAAGCACAGCCGTGGAGGACGATGCTGGGCAGGAAGGCGGGGACCCCAGTCAACAGCACACAGAGGGACCGGCCTGGCAGAATGAGACAACAGCGGCTGCCATACAGGAGGAAATGGTGGAGAAAACTTCTGGGCAGAACCAGAGCGGGCAGAGCAGCGGGCAGGACAAGGCAGGGGCAGTGCAGCACGTGCCTGGGGGTCTCCATGCCAGTGACAATGCAGATGTCTCAGCCACACCTCAGTGCCCCCAGAGAAACGCCAGTGCTCCCGCAGAGCACAGAGACTCCAGGATAACTGGAGGAACGTTGTGTCATCGGGGACAGTGCCCCTGGCAGGTAATGAGCACACCTGGGTGCTTGCTGTGCAACTGGGTCCAGCTGGAGCAGCTTTCAGCAATGGTTGCTGAGGTTGGTTCTGTAGGTCAGCAGTAATTTAAGCAAACACCATGTGTTTATTTCTCAAACTGCATTTTTGATCCATGTGTTTCACTTGTTGCTGTTTGCATGTTTAGTGCTTTCTCAACTACGGCAGCTGGCTCTTCTGCTCTCGTTCACTTTGTTTCTGTCTGCTTGTGGTGCTGGATGCTTTCTGAAATGGCTGTTTGTATTTCTAGTCTATGTGCCCAGGTGAGATTTTTGTCCTGAGCCTTTCAGAGGATCCCAACCTGAAGGCAAATGGCAAATAGCGAAACTTCCACTATCCCTCCTTCATGCCCTTTGTCACTACTACTACAGCAGTGCTGTTCTCACGCAGGTTTTGATCCGTGACAGCAGAGATATTGGCTTCTGTGGAGGGAGTTTGATCAACAGCCGCTGGGTGATCACAGCTGCTCACTGCCTCGATCTTGTCAGACCTCACCACGTGACCATAGGTGAGTACCAGTCAGCACTGCGCGCCCCCACAAACCCAGAGGTGATCTCATTTTAAATGGCAGCATTGTGCAGCAGGCTTGGTGTCTCAGAGCTGCCACTTCTCAGGGCCCGGTAAGATAACAGCACTGGTGGCAGTAGCAAGCTGGCACCCTCACCCCAGGCGTGCTGCAGTACAGCCTTGTGCTTGAGACCTCAAGGAAAAGAGGGACAGCAGCAGCGAGCAGAACAGAACCCAGGTAACTGGCACAGACCAGTGCTGCATCTTAATCTTTATGTCAGAATCCTGAGTGCTGCCCTTCCAAATAGTTCTTGACAACATTGGTGATGAAGTCCCTACCCAGCACTCTGCTGCTGTTGCTGGTTCGCCCCTAAGGAGCAAACTGGAAAAGCCGAGTTGCAGGATCACGTCCGCACTCCAAGAAGTTACTTCTCACAGCTGGCTTCCTTTGTCAAAGCACTGATACATGAGCTTCCTGCTCCCCCGATACTGAGCAGGCCCATCACGTGTGGCTTCCCTTTAACTTGTCGTGGCTACAGGTGACTTCGACAAGTACCAGAGAGAACTGAAGGAGCAGAAGATAGGTGTGGAACAGAGCTGGACGCATCCGCACTACGATTCCAACAACTACGACGGGGACATCGCCCTGCTGTACCTGAGCGGCGAGGTGGTTTTTAACGATTACGCCATGCCCATCTGCCTGCCCAGCCCCAACCTGGCAGCCCTGCTGGCCGAGGAAGGACGAGTGGGGATGGTGAGCGGCTGGGGCGCCACGCACAGCCGGGGCTCCACGCTGCGCTTCCTCATGCGGGTGCGGCTGCCCGTTGTGAGCATGGACACGTGCCAGCAGGCCACGCGCAGGCTGGTGACGGACAACATGTTCTGTGCCGGGTACGGCACCGAAGCTGCGGATGCCTGCAAGGGCGACAGCGGAGGCCCATTTGCTGTCTCTTACCACAACGCTTGGTTCCTGCTGGGCGTCGTAAGCTGGGGTGACGGCTGTGCTGAAAGGGGAAAATACGGCGTGTACACCAGAGTGTCCAACTACCTCCCCTGGATTAAGGAGACTGTCGAAAGCGTGGCAGATTCAGAAAAGTTTTCCATTAATTTTTCCTAAGAGCGGCCTTAAAAATAGGGACAATTCTTGTATTACAGTTGTCCCTGATGCTGAAAGCCAAGTTCGTCTTTAAATGAATGCTGAGTCTCAATTTACCATGATTTGTTGAATTGCTCAGTAAATATTACTAAGCAAAACACATGTAATAAAGAACTATTCCTGCAATAACAAAGGCGACAACTGAACTTCTTTCTGCAGATGGCAGTAGAAAGGAGAGCTTGGCTGGCTGTTCTTTTGCTTCTCACACCTACACTCACATCACACAGGTGCTGACTGCTCAGAAAAGGAAGCACGTGGCAGGCTGTGCTCTGGCTGTGCAGCAGCAGGTTGGTGCAGGGATCATGGATCAAGGGAGTTCTGCAGTGTGTGCCTGCTGCTTCAAGTACAGCTCAATTCACTGAAATAGAAGAAGTTGCTGATTAGAATCTTTACTACAAGCTGTTCCAGCTGCACTGCTTGGGAGAGGGACTATACAAGTGGAGCTACAGAACACAGACCTGCAGGCATAGCACAGAATGAAGGGCCAATTTTTACACCTTTTTCGTGAAGGAAAAACATACACTTATTAATTCTTGAGACTCCCCCCACTGCCTCTTATACATCATTTCTCTCTCCCAGTGTTTGCTGCAAACCAGCACACACAGGTGTATGCTGCAGTTAGCAGGTGGTCTTTTCCACCCATCTCCAAAGATATTCTCACTTTGTCACCTTTCCTATAATCTACCAGCAGGCTCCCATAAAAAACAAGTCTTACTCATTATTAGCTCTTCTCTGTTATTGTTATTGCTATATATTCTCCTTCACTGTTTGCTTAAAGATCACGTCCCCCTCCTGGCTAACAAAGGCAGATCTCAAGTGCAAGCATCATCTTCTTACACTCTTCTCTGTTATTGCCTCCAGCTGACCCTGAGCGCCTTCTGGGTCAGTGCACACTGAGATCCACCTGAAACAAGCCGAGCTCCACCCAAACAAGTGCACAGCACACAGTGCCCAGCCACTTCAGCAGCCTCAAGAAGCTTCACTCCAAAGTCTGGTTTACTGTAGAACGCTACTGTGTGCTTCACAGCAAAGCCCTCCAGCTGCAGCTGCCTGATCTCCAGCAGCAGGCACCAGTGGAGGCTGTGCTCGGGGCACAGCATGGATCCTGGCTCAGTAACAGCATCACCTCACTTACTGTGAGCAGTTCTGCTGGAAGCTGCTGGTCCTCTCCTGAGCTCTGCACCACACACTCATGACAAAAGAAGTCCTTCAAGAGGAAGATGGTCAGTATTTCTGTTGTGCAGATCTCCAAAGACAGGAAAACTGATTAATATTTAAAAAGCACTGAACACATAAGAAATGGAAAACAAGAAACAAATCGCAATCATCAGCTTCTCCACACACCAGGTGCTCATTTTTTCTTCACATCTCACGTACTCACTCTCTCCTCCACGCTCCACATACACATCATTCTGAGCAAATAACAGACAACCCCCAAAAAACAGAAGATGTTTTATTGTCTAAAGAGTTGCAATACAACAAATGTGTGATCTGTACAAAGGACACAGTAGAGCAAGTTTAAATACAATCAGGAGAAAGAAGTCCCCAAATTCACAGTCTTTGGACATTATCTTATACCAGAACCTGAACCAACAATTTAAAGATCAACTACAAAACCCAAATGAGTTGTTAAAAAAACATTAAGGTCTCCCAAGAGTCTATGGGTGCATTGTCTTACAGCAGAGATCACAGGGTATTCTGTGAAGGGTCACAATGGCATCTTATTGCCCTCAATGCTGATTTTCACCGCATGGGCCGATCTGCTTTTTTTCCTGATATCTGTGAATTTCCGCATCTGTTTGTCCAGTCGACTCACCCCTTTCTTAGAGCTCCCCTGGAACTTAAAAAACAAAACTAGGAATTACCACTGAAAAAAAAGCAGACGTCCCATAGGCTCAAGAAAAGCAACGCATGCAAGGTGAAGCCTGCGAGTGGGACCTGAGGGAGCCCCCGGTGTGGGGAGGGGCTTGCAGCTCTGCCCTCAGCTCCCCCACGTGGACACACAGCTCCCCCAGCCTCCCAGCCCACGGATGGCAGTGATCACACACACGTCACAGAGGAAAGCTCTCCCACTGCAGAGGTTAACAGACACACGAGATGTTGACACGCTGGCAGAACATACAGTTTGGAATAGCTTTTGTCTGGAGCGCAGTGACAGATATATTGCACAGTGCCATACACACAGGCCCCCTGGGGAAGGCTTTAGATGCAGCTACACTTGACTGAGTTGACGCATCAATTCCAAACTGTGATTTATTTTGCAATTAATTCATCAGTGCTTAAAAAGAGCGGGGAGATTATTGGGAAATAAAGGAGTGAGGTTGGAAGTGAAAGAAATGCCTAAGGAAAGCTGATCAGATCAGTTACTAGGAGTTGCTGCATTTCATCTCTGTGTTTTAACTGCAGCTGAAGAACAGACATCACAGCAGTTATTTCACAGGTGAGAAACGCCACTGAAGACAAAGGACATTCCAGTCCACAACCACCACAACCACCTCCTAGATGCAAGTTCCCCTTTAACTGGACAGCAGAAACAGTGATGGAAATTTCACACCTTTTACATTTGGGAAAAAGCAACATGTGGAACATGCTACTTAGCATCTGACCAAAGCAGCTGTTGGGAACTGAGCCTCTGGTTCCACTGCTACGGAATACTCATTTAAAATGAACTCTATTTATTCATAGAATTCAGTCAAGTTCTGTCTGGAAGTTCACTGCTTTTCAGGGGAGATATCTATATGCATGCTTTGGGTTTTAGGTTTGTTTTTCATCGTCATTTTACATGAATAAATATGAAGTTTAAACTCAGCATCTATCATTTGTGCTTGCCTCACATCACTGTTCCTTGGTAACACCTCTGCTCACAGAACCTGAACGCAGAGTTAGCACTGCCCACACAATTCTCATGTTGATGCACATCAGTGACTGATCTCCCTCCACTCCACGCTCGTGGCAGGGGAGTCTTGTCCTGTTTCTGACAACCACCCCCCGAATCTCATGCTGTCAATGACTGTGGGAAAGAGGTGTGACAAACATCTCGTTTTGTCTCAGTAAAACCACAGTCCTACACTGAGAGCTAAGAATTTCTGTGCATCTGTCCAGGCAAACCTGGAGAATTCAAGTAAGAATGAGTTTCAAGTGCCAGACTTGCTGGTATGCCAAGCACCAGAAGCCACAGGTGCAGAGCTTTGTGAGCACAGGGATTCTCACATAATACTCATCATTTGGGTACCATGGAAGTAACAGGCGCAGGAAGCACGGCAGGTGTCACGTGCTACAGACTTTTTCCTGTACAAATTACAGTTTAGGCCACAGTGCAGACATCAGAGAGTACAAGGAGAGTTTTCCAAGTTTAATTGGGGTGTACACACTCCTTTCCTGTGTGTGCAATCTGCCAACAGCTGAAGCACATGCACTGTTCACACCTCCCTTGAGGGATACCTCTCAAACTTGGGGAAGGCAGTGTCATGGCTACAGGGGCATCCTGTTGCCTTCAATGCTGAACTTGATGGCCCGATGCACTTTGCTGAGTCGTTTCTGTTCAGCAAACCGTCTCTTGTGCTTTTCCAAGCGACTAATACCTCTCTTAATAGTCCCGGGCTAGAAACAACATCTCAATTAATGCAAAGAAGGAAAGATAACAGCAGAAAGATTACAATAGTTATTACCTCTTCCATTTACATCGGTTCTACCACGTGCTCTGCCTTTAAATGAAAACCATACCAAGTAGATGGAAGAACCAAATTAAACAAGGCACAGGCCTCTACTGAAGCTGTTAATGGCTGCCGAAACCTTGATGTTTTCCCAAATCAAAATACTATCAGAAGATTATGAAACAAAAATGGGGGAGAGATAGAAAATATCAGTGGCATACTTATTGAACTGCTGCTTTATTTCAACACGTTCTGAAAATAAGAGGCCTGTAACCAAACTCTCGCAGTAGAGAGAAGCTCTAGAACAGATAAGGTGAAAATCTCTTTCTGGTAAGAGAAGCAACGATACCTGCAGAAAGAATTTGATGGGCTTATCTGAAAACAAAACTGTTGTCTACTCCTATTAGAAGAGGCACATAAAAAGAATCGCTATGTTGTTCAGTATCTACAGCTGGAAGGTGACAAGTCCCCAGCTCACTCACAGAGTCACTAGGAGAGGCCCCAGCAACACCCCACACCACAGCTTACCCTGGAGGACTCCATCTCCACGTTCCACTTTGGCCTGACCACGTAGTCCTTGTTGGAGGGCATTGGCACCCTCGCACGGGCACAGAAACCTGGGTCTCCAGGCCTAAGAGCTCTGAAGAAAGGAAAGTTCCTGTTAGGTAAAAGCAGCCTCCAACAGAGCTATGACTGATTCAGATACAGATAATTCTGAAACAGAGTATTATCACTGATTTCAAAGCCTCAAAATGAATGTGTACTGTTAGTTCTTTAGAAATACCTTTTTCTAGTTCAAATAAAAATCAGTAAGAATACTTCAACTCACTTTTCCTCTCCTGTTAACACTTTCTCCAGATCCCTGCGGGGAGTCTGACCGCCAGAACTGCAAGAAAAATCCATCTTTATTAAGTATTCATACACAGACAAACATAGTAACTTCAAAGGACAATCAAGTACAGTAAGAGAAAAAAAAACTGAGGTCAGAAATAACTGTTCTTCAATTTACCCCACTACCTGCACACAGTTTTTCTTTATGGGAAGTCCTAGAAAGAGAAATAACGCATTCACATTTCTGCCTGCTATTCCTACCTGCTCAACCTCCTCCGCTGAGGCATCTGTTCCAGATCTCTCTGTTCTCTCTCTTCTCTTGTCATGCCTTTGTAGTTTGAGGTAAGCCCAAAGATGGGACGAGACCATTCATCTAGTAAATAAATAGATGAGTTAAACTTACTTATTATCAGTGTTTATTATCTACACACCATTCCTTTCGAGGTTCATATATACTTTTCTCCAGCTGAGTAGCTGATCTATGAACTCTTTGTATTTCAGAGAAATCCCAGAGTTGCACACAGAAAGAAAGAGGTTTCACTCATGAAGTCTGTTTCTGCTCACTGTTCAGTGCATTGTTTGTTTGGGTTTTTTTTTGGACGCTCTCAGCTCTAGGAACACTCAGTGTCAGAACCTCCTGCATGGCACA